ATGGCCTCCAACCTACTGGCGATGGCCTCCAACTCATGATTTTGCTGAGGTCCAAGCCCGAAAAAAGACAGATGCACGGCTCCTGGCATATTTCTGCTGCACAAAGCGTCCTTGTTCCTAGTGGTAAGGCCAGGAGCCCCTAGTAGCGTTCTTGCTCCTACACCCAACTCAAAGTCAAGCAAGCCTCGAAGTTGTCAAAGCGTGGCTGCTGCCTGCCACGCGGTGCTCTTCCAAGAGCACTTCAAGAGCGACCCCTCACATGACCATGCTACCAGGTTTGGTAGCACAACTCTTCAAACCTGGTGAATGTGAAATACCTCTATGTCTATCTTCCGTCCAACGTACGAACCATGACCCGATCAAACCGCAACTGTGTTTGCTACGATAAAATGTCATCAGAATTGCTGTGAGACACAAAGGCCTCTAAAGTGTCTTCCAAACAATTTGTGGGCAACTCCGTGTCACCCGTAGGAACAGCATGGTAGAGAAATCGCTGATGGCAGCGGAAGCCATCAGGTCGTGGATAGGTCGTGGGTTTTACTGGTGGATATGGGCATCTGTTACTAGAGATCAAAGAGTCCGGTAATTAGGCACTCCGGTAGGCACCACTGTAGGCACTATAATTTTGCAATTCATGACTCTGAGACTTGCAGATTGGGGATTGAGACCGCAATCATATTGGATGCTTTGCAGCAGTAGAGGTTGGTGGATGCGTTGTGTTCCCCACAATGCTACCGCAGAATGAGAAACTCATACCAAATCCTTTAAACATCACCATCAACACTGGAAAACACGGGCCACAGCATCCTTTTCTCTTTGGTTCTGTGCTTAGTTTCTTTGCTCCTAGTAGCTTCTTGTTCCTAGTAGTACGGCCAGGAGCCCCGAACGTCGCGTCCGATCGCTCCTAGTAGCGATGCCCTTGTTCCATCTTGTTCCTAGTAGCTTCTACTGTAGCTTCTTGGTTTTTGGTCTTTTTGTGGCGTGACCTTTGTGGCTTTGGGCTGTTTGGTTGCGGGTTGGTTTGGTTTATGATGGTTTACTAAGTTTGCTATGTGGTTCTTGTGGTTCTTGTGGATGTGAGGTTGTACTTTTATCTAGTGTCGTTCGTTGAGTTTGGGTAGGGGCCTACGGTAAGGGGGTCTACATTGCACCAAAACAACTAACCAAGAAATGCATATCCTGCGAACCAAAAGTCCGGACTTCAGAACATGACCAGAACAGCCAGCAGCACAACAAGAGAGTGGACAGAACCATTGCCCAACACATCAAGACATGGTTCCGACTCCACTCAAGCCTTCTAAGCACCACTCTCATTTGGGGCCCAGGCACACGCGTACAAGGGCTGGAGATAACTTTGAAAGGCACTAGTAGCAAGTGCATCGCTACTAGTAACCAGAAACTAAAACGTAAAGAACTCGCCAAAATGACTAGGAAGATAGGGAAGAAGTTGATCTGAGCAGTTTGGCGTTATGAGCATACAGGAGCCATCATGACCTTCTCATCCTTTATTTTCCTGATCCTTCACATGTGCAACCAATGCTTTCTCTTCCCATGTCGCTGTTTCATTTCTCTACCGATCTTTCCAAAGCTCACTTTCTTCACTTGAGATTTGGCTAATAGCTTATTGGCACCCCTCCTGCTGTCAAATTGCCACTTGCAGCAGGCCCTCACGCCTAGAACCTGGTCCCCCTTGTAATTAAATCTCTCATGGACCCCAACCACTTGCCATCCTTCGTGAGCTGATCTATCCTCTCCTTGACATGAAACTTGTAGTCGGTTGCATGGACGAAAGTATCATGAAACAAACCGCATTGTGACACCGCAATGCGCTGCATGCCATGTAAAGTGTATGCAGGTACCAAAGTTAAGGTTTCGCGTAATAATCTATTTATCCACAGTGAATGTTTCACGTGTTTTGATTGTGATTTTGGGAGTTGGACTTGGCGCTTGCCATGAAAGCTCATTTACATGATGTTTTCCACAGTTTGAAGTTCTTTCAAGTAGCAAGTGCAATTGACCCGCCTCTCCCAGCAGGGGCTTCTGAACTTGGAATGTGAAAATCCGGTGTTTCACGTGCTCCGAACTGGCTCCCAGCTGTCCGAGGCAAAATCGAAGGTTGACTTGAATTTCTTGCGGACCCCCAAACATGTCAGCCGCATGAAGACCCAAACCCGCAAAGGTAGTAAAGCTGGACACAGTGACAAGCGCGGGCCCCCACGGCGCTCCTTTCTGAAAGCAAATTAATTACCACGTACAAGCAACAAAATGTATCCTGCCCAGAAACAACCGCTAAAATATACTAGTAGTAATGGCCTCCAACCTCAAAGCTTCTCGCTACCTTAAACATCCATGGTTTATGAGAATTGTTCAAACTGAACTATTTTGGCAGGTGGCTAGCCCTTGCTTGATGTAGTGGTTTGGTTATGCCAGTTGCAGGTACCACGAAGTGATGTCTTTGGATGTAAAGCAAGTGGCTTGCCCTTGGATTGGAAGCACCCAAAAGATCTGACAAGCATGTGCGCCCTTTGCACTATGGCCACGGGCGACATACTGTCTTGTTCCCATCAGTCTCTCCATTCATGCTGCCTGCCCGATCAAACCACCTCAAAAAAAACACAAAGGAAGGAATTTGGGCCACGGGAACTGAAGCTGAAAGCATGCACTCAGCTCTGTGCGAGGTGCGCGAGTCAGCACGATGCAATTCACCGTCTTCCCAAGACACTGGAGTGAGCGAGTGTCAAACTAGAAAGAAAAGCAAAAGAAGGAACATCAAAACATGCACTTGTGACTAATAGCAATGCTCTGGTTACTGAAAGCAACGCTGAAAGCAACACGCTTTCAGTTCGGGACATGCCTGGCCCTGGGCTCTTTAGTCGACCTCCAAGCCTTAGAGTGTGCCGAAAGTCGGTGAACCCAGCTGAAACTGCTGGGTGAACCCAGCTAGTAGGTTGGAGGCCATCGCTTCTTAGTAAACTTACGCAAAAACACAAAAAACTCTGAAACTTGGGGAACAAGAAGCTACTAGGAACAAGTGCCACGCTAGTAGTAACAGGTGCCTTACTAGTAGGAACAAGAAGCTACTAGGAACAAAAACAAGAAAACTCTGAAACTTGGGGAACTCGAGACACTGAAGACGATTGTGAAAGGAACCAGTCGCTGATGGTAGCTGACGGTAGCTGGTAGCCAAGGAAACGGCACACTTCGACCGCCATTTGGAAAAGGACGAGGATGGGTATGGGGATGGATGAGAATTGGGAAGAATGAACATGAGGATCCGGATGGAGCAGGATGCTGATCATACAAATGATGAATAGTAGAATTTGAATCAGGATGAGCATCAATCGGCAAACAGCAAGGAGACCCTCCTTTTGCTTCTTGCAATGCCAAATCAGCCAAGTCAACAATTCCTTCACAAATTAAGCTCTTTGAGGCTCAAAGCATATATGTGTGCCAGTCAGGTCAGGTCCAGAGATTTTGCTGGTTGCTTTGGTTGCTTGTCGGATTCGGAATATTATTCCTCAAGCGGGGGGGGGGGTAGGCCGTGAGGCAGCTAGTAGGCATTTTTCTAGCCCGCTAATACTTAATTAACTGGGTAGTCTCTACTTAATGAAGGGACTAGTTCGCTAGTATATAGTATTAAGTAGGATGCTACTAGCTACTGGACGCAGGAGCTCACACGCTCGCGCGCCTCCAACCTACTAGCGATGGCCTCCAATCTACTAGCAACGGCCTCCAGCCTGCTAGCGATGGCCTCCAACCTCAGAGTGATGGCCCCCAACCTAGTAGCAATGGCCTTCAACCTAGTAGCTGGCCTCCAGCCTACTAGTGATGGCCTCCACCCTACTGGCGATGGCCTCCAACCTACTAGCAATGGCCTCCAACCTACTAGCGATGGCCTCCAACTCAAGAGCGTGCTGATAACAAATTTGGATTTAATACCAATGACAGCAGCTGATTTCAAAGAAGAAACGTTTGCGGTCGCAAATGATGACGTACTGGCCGCGAATCCTTGGCGGAGAGCGAGATGAGGTCAAGACCACACAAAAAGGAATACTTAGAAACAAGAAGCTATTAGAAACAAGTGCATCGCTACTAGTAACAAGTGCCTTACTAGTAGTAACAAGAAGCTAATAGGAACAAAAAGGAATACTTGACATGGAAAACTGGACGACGGCGGTGGCTACGAACTTTGGTCCAGTTCCCTCCCTGCAGCGCTGAACCACCATTTTGTCCATCATTCCCTGACCACCTTTTACACGTCCTGCCAACGACGCCCTAATTGTTTTGGGCAAGCTTCTCCTGCAAAATTCTGTCCCACCCACCCCTCCAACTGAAGCTTAACCTGAATCAGGTCCTCCCAAATATTCCAAACGATGGGTGGTACATTGAAACATCTCGACCAAGAACGCCAGTGACCACGAGTGCATGCAACGGGTGCGTACAACCAGGAAGCCATGCGCCTTCAGCGACCCACGCACACAACCCCACTTCATTCTGAATGGTCCAATGTTCCACAGAACCTGCAAATTGCGAACATGGCAAATCATGTTGTAAAACACACACACACACCATGTTTGGCAGGCCACGGGGGTTCAACGCAAGTTCCACATGACAAACCCTCATGCCGAATAGAGTGTGTGGCACAAACAAACCTCCAACCTAGTAGCTTCTTGTTACTAGTAGCGATGGCCTCCAACCTACTAGCGATGACCTATGTTTACGAGAGCCAGAAGGTGACCGCTTCACCCCACTCTGCTGCGACGGGTCAGTCTTCCTGGGAGTATCACGCTCGGGAAGCTGTTGGAGCACAAGTTCGGGTTCAGTTCTCATTGTGGCCTATGTTACCTGGGAAGTCCAGGAACAAATGGTCAAACCGGAACCCGAACATCCGAGGAACTGAAACACTTGAAGTCCAATATTCCATGTCATAGTGGAACTCTCCCGTCGACGTCGTGACCTCGCAAGAAGGCGCTGAAGGCTCGGTGAAGTCAAACAGCCGCAGCCTGAACAACAGCAGGTTCGCCATCGATGAAGTCCCGCAACAAGTTGCTTCGAAGGACATCATGTCTTGCGATGACCTCACCAACATACCGGCAGTGGTCAGCCAAAGTGCTTTCCCTACTTTCCTATGCTTTCCCAGGTTGGAGGCCGCTCTAAGGTTGGTTTGTTTTTTTTATCGGTTTTCGTCTCCAAACTCGCTTCGGTTCTCGCACCCGCTCGATGGCCGTGGCAAAGGCAGCCCGGTCAAGGTGGCCTTCTAACCTGTCAAAGCGAACACACTTACACAAAGGATTCTGGAAGAAAGGACAAAGAAAGAACGACGGTCGGTTCGGCTGCTAGACAAAATCCAAAGGCCAACAGGTGTGCATGTTCAGCTACACAGCTACAATATGTCAGCAACACCAAGGAAAATGCAAAGGCAACGAGAAACCCGCAAGCCGTCACACTGCGGAGAAAGCGAAACCATGCTGTAGCATACCAACCACCAAACGGCATTACCCCGGACCTCCACAGTTGCATCCATGGAACTTCTCATGACACATGTCACATGTTTTTGCATTACATCATTAAGTAACGAAAAACGCAGTTCTCTCTCCAGCGCCAGATGGTGAGAAAACACACTGAACGTCCACGAGAAAGTGCACGCCGGGAGTTGTTCAAAATCCAACAAGTCCCGCAAGGATCTCCACCCCTAGGTTGGAGGCCATCGCTATTAGAAACAAAGAAACAAAGGTAACAAAGGTCTTATATAGTTACTAGTAGCTTCTTGCTACTAGTAATGCCCTTGTTAGTAGTAACGTCCTTGTTCAAAGTAAGAATGCTCCGTTCGTAGCGATGCCGCCCCCAGTAGCGTCCTTGCGACCTCGGGTCTTGGCCCCGATGCTCAATGCTCTAAAATAGATTCGACTTTGCCAACGCATTCGACGGCAGATTTCTCCCGCATCCAGAATGGCTTGCAGAGAATTGGCATGTTAGAGTTAGAGCGACTTCAACTTCTCTTGGATGCTTTCCTTTAGCATAAAATGGCTATCTTTGACTGCCCCTTCCAAGGATGCTTTCAGGGTATAACCTTGGAATGCCCAGCCCCCTAACAAGGGATCCCTTTGGGAAGCTGGCCTCAGGAGAAGAGGTGAGTTGTAGGCAGAACTCCCTGGTTGAAGTTCATGAAGTACCAACCTGGAGCGCAAAACACAGCGAACCAAACGCAAAAAGTCTCGGAACGTCCAACAAGACCTTAGTCAATTGAGTTTGGACTTTGTTTCTTTTTGTTCTCTTCTTCAAACTGTATTAAAAAATGGTCCATCTCTGCAATCAAGGATAACTATATAATGCCTGCCAAAAAGCATATGCTCTTGGCCAAGGGATGCAGGCATCAAACCTTCTACAGGTGCAGGACCACGCATTGGCATGACCTGGTCGTGGAAGGACACGAAGACGCAAGCCGCTATCCGGAACAAACACTTGCAGTGAATGCAAACGAGAGTCTGGAACTCGGGTACTTCACCGCTTTGAAGTGTTCGATGTTCTATAAACTGTCTAGCTCCCTTCTAGTTCTCTAAGCATATTTGAAAGCTAGGTGATTGGAAAAGACTCTTTGTTTTTTCAATTTAAACTCAGTTTCGTAGACCCTAGACTCTCAGCTGTTGGGGATTTTCAAGGCAACCAAAGCAATCAAGCCTTTTAGTCGTCCCCCTCTGGCCTCTAGTTCACTCTCGATGAGAACGTATTTCGTCTACAAACTTCACTCTCTCTTGCTATGAGAGTAGAGACCATCGTTAGCAGGTTGGAGGCCATTGCTAGTCGGTTGGAGGACATCGCTAGTAGGTTGGAGGCCATCGCTAGTAGGTTGGAGGCCATTGCTGGTAGGTTGGAGGCCATTGCTAGTAGGTTGGAGTGCATTGCTTCTAGGTTGGAGGCCGCACTTTTACCTCATTCCCCCTTGGCACACACAGCGTGCACGCAGCGCACCTCCCGGGCGCTTGACAAGAGCTGTGCCAAGGTGGAGGCCGACGGATGCGCATAAACTTCGTCGAATTGCAACGACGATGCCTCATCATGCGCTCTATTAAAAGAAACCAAACAGACAATTGCCAGTTTCATCGAAGTTCAACAAGTTCACGGCCCTAGTTTGCTTGAATGGTAAAGTCGACTGACCGATTTCTTGAAGCGTAAGCAATCCAGCACGGGGCATGTAGAACTTAATTCACGCCTCAGGAACCTGTGCCCGTAGTGCTGATAGCAAACTTGCAGCCTTCAAGGAAGTGCCACCCAACCTGAAGCCCAAAATGTTTTCTTCACAGGGCTCTCGCCGAGAAGCCGTTGATTCCAAGTTAGTTGTCGCTTGTGTATGAGAAGGTGTCGACGATGGCATTTGGAATTTGGAGTGACACATGGAAGCAATCACATTTAATTTTTGCCAAAGCCAAAGGTGGAGATACCAAGCGAATTGTTCCAACCTTCTTGTGCTGTACTGCGATTTGCACATCACATAGATTGTTATTTGCTGATTCTTGCAGTCCGACACTGCAAAGCACGAGTGCACACGCACACTTTGACATTGGTTTTTCAGCCAGCTCAATTCCCAGGTCGAAAATGGTGAGGGAACGGCAAGGCGAACAGGTCGGCGAGAACTGTATGGTTGAACAATGTTTGCAATCTGACACACAAGCGGTGGGAAAAAAAAAGGGTTTGGGGGACGTATCATGAACCACCATGGAATCAAAGCAGAAGGATTGGAACAGCGTACTCAACCGTTGAAGCAGGTACAGGTGGATGATCAGTCCACCCCTCCCTCGTCATACCGTAGCTTCATTGCGTACGGTGGGTATGACGAGCCGTACGCCCCTGCTTTGAAAACATGGAAAGCCCTTAGGGACAGGGTTTGACACACACACACACACGGTGCTGCTTTGCGGCGCTCGTGCGAACGACCTGAATAGGTACCTAAAAAGCCTTAGAAACAAAAGAAAGAAACGCAGAAAGAGCAACGCTAAGAGGGCAAGAGAGAAAGGTAGGAATAGAAAAAAGTGAATACTTAGCCCTTGACTGGGGTAGGGAAACGAGCCTCAAGAGCAACCTAAAAAGCCTGAGAGAAAGCCCAACAAACGACGAAAAGCGCAAGAAGAAAAGTGGGGGGGCAGGGAGGGGGTGCATGTCCATGTGTGTGTACATGTGTGTGTCTGAATACGCAGCACTGTAGACTTACTGATTACTTAGCAGAAATGAATTAAGTGCAATAGTTAGGGGGCGGGACTTTAGTCTTAAACCGCCCGGGTAGAGAAGACTAGAAAAAGGGACAACAGAGGGAAAGGCACCGACACACAAGTGGGCCGAGTACCATTTCCCTCTGTTACCCTAATTAGGTAGGGAGCAGAACGCGGGGGGGGGGGGGGGGGGTTGGGAAACATGCCTGCCCTCAAGTGGAATTCCGTTTTTTAGCCCGGCGGCTGTGGCATCATGTCGTGCAAGCCCGACGGCTTTTGAATCAGTTGATTCAGTTAAGAAAAAGTGGAAGACAAGGTGCAGTGGACGAAGTAGATCCGTTACACGATTTCCGGAGTGAATTCAGCGCCCCTGTCACGGGGTTTGCACCCAGCACCCAAGTGGGACGGCTGAGCGGTGCACACTTTGACATTGGTTTTCAGTTAGCTCAATTCCCAGGTCGAAAATGGTGAGGGAACGGCAAGGCGAAAAGGTCGGCGAGAACTGTATGGTTGAACAATGTTTGCAATCTGACACACAAGCGGTGGGAAAAAAAGGGTTTGGGGGGACGTATCATGAACCACCATGGAATCAAAACAGAAGGATTGGAACAGCGTACTCAACCGTTGAAGCAGGTACAGGTGGATGATCAGTCCACCCCTCCCTCGTCATACCGTAGCTTCATTGCGTACGGTGGGCATGACGAGCCGTACGCCCCTGCTTTGAAAACATGGAAAGCCCTTAGGGACAGGGTTTGACACACACACACACCAACAACCAAACTTAAGTACTAGAACTGTTACACATTTATATATGATCTGATCGCAGGGTGGCTATTTTACGCAAAAATAGCACCTTTGCTGAGTAGTGGAGCAACCTGTTTAGCATTGTTTTGAGGTATCACCTTGCATTTCAAATCGTGCACGTTCTTCTGTCGCTTGGACAAGTTGCATGTTGCAATCAAGGTATCCTTTAGCTCATTTTCTGCATATCTTCCACAAAAACCCAAAAGACAAGCAGTCCTGGATGTCAAGCTCTTGCATGAAGCATTTGTGTTGGCAACAATTCAACTGCTTCGACCGAACGGCCAGCCATTCGTGTTTGACACTTTCGTGCTTCGACTCTTGATGCCAAGTAACGCAAAAAAATCCGCATGCACTGAGGTACAATCGAGGTTGCGTCGAAGCACCTCTGCTCATGAAGAAGGAAGAAAACAAGGAAAATAAGAAACCTAACCTACGTGCAATGGCCTCCACCCCAATAGCCATGGCCTCCAACCTACTAGTGATTGCCTCGACTTGCGATGGCCTTCAACCCACTTGCGATGGCCTCCCTACTGGCAAGGTTGGATCAATGCAAGAATCTTGTGTTTTATTCTTTCCTAGTAGCGATGCCCTTTGCCCCTAGTAGATACTTGTTCCTAGTAGCGATGCCAGGAGCCCCGTTCGTAGCGTCCTTTGCTCCATTCTTCCTTTGTGTTCATTCCTTTCTTCCCTTCATTCGGACCTTTCGACCTTTGGCTCAACAACTGGAAAAACCGAGTAGCTAGCGGCAACTGCAATCCTCTTTAGGGTCCAGAAAATGCCAGAAGGTCCGCCTGGCAAATGGCCTCGAGGAGCTTCTTCTCCAAGGGAGTCCTGCATTCTTCCCAATCATGTTAACTTTGATCCTCCAACTTGCTCCCTTCGCAAGTTTTTGATTTGTGTCTGTCACAATTCAAACATGTGTGAGCACCTGCCTTGGTGCAATCGTGTCCTGGTAGAGTCAGCTGCGAGAAAAGGATGAACAAGGCCCACTCTTGCGGCAGAGGCCACTATGCCAACAAGTGTTCATTCCAAACTTGTTTCAGAAAAACCGCGGAAAACACTTAGAGCTCCTTCTTATTGGGTAATCAGGAAGCAGCAGCCAAAGGTGGTGAATGTTTAACAACTCCGCATCGAACCAGTTCGTAACAAAGGCAGGGATGTGCCATGTTTTCCGCCTGGACACAAACAGTTGGCACTGGCAGGGCTTTTCGATCCACCTGGCAAGCGCTTCTCTGTTTCGACGTTCACTTCGAAGCGTGAAACCGGTTCACTGGAAGGCAAGGCCTATAGCCTCACGAAAATGTAGGCAAAAGTCTAATTTAATTCTAATAGCTTCTTGTTACTACTAGTAAGGCACCTGTTACTACTAGCGTGGCACTTGTTCCTAGCAGCTTTCTTGTTCCTACAAGTAAGGCACTTGTTACTACGAACTAGGGTCAAAGCTTCGAACGGAGCTGCCATTTTCTCCGGTTTGCCACAGTGTATGTTATCTCGCCGTTGCGCTAGGGAGTGTCCGACTCACCTTGGAAGGCAAGGGCCTTAGCAAGTTCATCCCGGTATGAGCCAGGACCTTGGTAAAGGGGATGTGGCGTGCCAATGCTGGAGGTGGGTGGAATGTAGTCGGAATCAAAAGAAAATGTTGAGTGATGATGAGGAGTTCCTAGTAGCTTCTTGTTTCTACTAGCTTCTTGTTTCTACTAGCGTGGCACTTGTTACTACTAGCGTGGCACTTGTTACTACTAGCTTCAATGACTGCTTGATGGAAGCAAGGGCGGAACGGGAGAAGATTTGCCCAGGATGAATGGATGTGAATGGCGTCGAAACAGCGCAGCCGGCCAAGCCCCAGCCGGCTTTTGGGATTCATCGGGGGCTTGCGGACGAGGTAATCTCAATGGCAAGAGGCTACTAGGAGCAAAGGACGCTACTAGGAACTAAGGGCATCACTACTAGGAGCAAACACGCTACTAGTAGCTCCTGGCATCGCTACCAGTAGCAAATAACGACTAGCAGGATTGGCCTCCACCCTAGTAGCGATGGCCTTCACCTAGTAGCATCCTTGCTACTAGTGCCAAGGGATTAGGGCTACCTAGTCGTACAAGACCCGGTGGTATTTTCTTGATAGGCGATGCGATGTTTGAGGTGGGGTTGGAGATAGAATTGATAGGAGAAAAGGAATGTATGGATTAGAAGATTTGTGGATTGGAACCTAATAGCAATGGCCTCCACCCTAGTAGCGATGGCCTGCAACCTACTAGCAAGAGGAAGGAGGCAAAATAGTCAAAATATTGTTTCTACTAGCTTCTTGTTACTAGTAGTAAGGCCCTTGTTCCTAGTAGCGATGCCAGGAGCCCCTAGTAGCGTCTTGTTACTACCGATTGCCTCTTTCCGAGTGTTGGAGAGCTTGGCGCTTGGACAAGTCAGGGCCGGCCTGCGCAAAGGAATCTTGAGAGGAGGACAGTCGGGTAGCAGAAGGTCCTAGTAGCTTCTTGTTACTACTAGTATGGCACTTGTTACTACTAGTAAGGCACTTGTTACTACTAGCGTGGCACTTGTTACTACTAGCGTGGCACTTGTTACTACTAGCATCGTGATGCATCGGAAGCAGAACTCCGGAGACTACCCACACGTACCTACCGGAGAGTCAGGGGAAGAGAGTGTGCAGAGAAAGCGGCCCCAATGTCGGTGACTTTCCAAAGTCCCAGCAGCAAATCTTCGGCAAATACCTGAAGTACATGCAGGGCAAGATGGAAGGAATGTGGGGAGCAGAGCTGCGCAAATGCGCGGGGCGCAATGTGTGCCAATGTGATTGCCTGCGCGCGCCCGCAGGAATACCCTGGCATGCAAGTATGAACGTGTGTACACCGCTAGACCCCCTGGTGCCTTGTCAGTCTTTCCTGGCGTGTGTCAGCGCAGGGCCCGGCCCTGCTTTTTGATGACCTCTTTGGCAAATAGCAAGCTTGAGTTTTGTTGCAGTTCTCTCTAGCCTTGAGGAGTATGCTGCAATCTCAAAGGAGCCGATCGCATATTTGGCCTTACTACTAGGAGCAATGTTCGCTACTAGGGGCCCCTGGCCGTACCACTAGGAACAAGAAGCTACTGGGGGCTCCTGGCCTTACTACTAGGAACAAGAAGCTACTAGGGGCTCCTGAGGACGCTACTAGGAGCAAAGGGCATCGCTACTAGGAGCAAGGACGCTACTAGAGGCTCCTGGCATCGCTACTAGGAGCATTCTTACTACTAGCAACAAGAATGGAATGGTTGCTTGCACAGTGTCGTTGTACTGTATACCTGGTCATTCTCCGGGACCCACGGTATGTTTTTGTATGCGGTTCGGCAAGAATCTGTTGAGTGTATGGGCAAAAACGGAGGTATGGACGTTTGCCTCGTGTCCAGGTAAGGGGGCTCCTTGGCGATTTCCATTGCCTTTTCATTCCGAAGCGCCGCTTGCGAACGCCATCGCTTTGCTCCTAGGAGTTCTGGAGGCCACTACTAGGTTGGAAACAAGAAGCTACTAGGAACAAGTGCCACGCTAGTAGTAACAGGTGCCTTACTAGTAGTAACAAGAAGCTAGTAGAAACAAGTGCCTCGCTTCTAGTACTAGGTTGGAGGCCATTGCTAGCTCTTGTGGTTTACCCCGGTAGCCTGGCGATCTTCGCCGATGGTACAGTGAGCCTGACGTGCTCTCTTGCCGGTGATCGCCCTAGCAAGCTCTACCGGCGTGGACTTTAAAGAAAGGACAATCTCGGAACCATGTGCCGGACACCGTAACAACATGTCAATGACAACGCACAAGCAATTGACAAGTGTGAGAGTGATGCTCATCTTGCAGTCCTCACGCTGACATCTCGGGGAAAATAATTAGGATTTTGAGGCTGTCTGGCGGCCCATTTAGGAGACATACACCACTACACCGCACTCATGCGCAACCAACCCCTAGACTCGGCCCAATCTGCTTCAGTGCAGCACACCTTGAAAGCTAAGCACGCACAAATCAAGCAACTGACCAAACACAGTGCACACTGCGACTAACTATTTTGCTTACATCAAATGAGGTTGCACAAACCCAAAGTTTTCAGCCAAGAAGGACGGGCAGAAAAGTGTTCGGCCAAAGGATCGGAACTAGGAGCGATCGGACGCTACTAAGAGCGATGATTCAAAGTGGCGAGAGTTCCAGAACACTAAGGACCCAATGTTCGCTACTAGGAACAAGTGCCACGCTAGTAGTAACAGGTGCCTTACTAGTAGTAACAAGGAGAAGCTAGCTTAAAATAAATAGCTTTTTGTTACTACTAGTAAGGCACTTGTTACTAGGAGCGATGCACTTGTTACTAGTAGCTTCTTGTTTCTAATAGCTTCTTGTTACTACTAGTAAGGCACCTGTTACCTAAGGACCCTTTCGGCACCCAGCCTTGCCCGTGCGCCCTCTTGGCCACTCTTTCACCACCACGAGCTCTGGCCACATGTACCTCCATCTCATAAGACCAAAGCGAAAGAACAAAAAGAAAGCATCATGCATCTCAATCATGCATCTCATTCGCATAAATTGCTTATCCAAGCTTATTCAATTAGTGAGCTTGATGCTTGTTCCAGGCAACAGCAGCTCTACCCACAAAACAATACACAAAACGAAAGTAAAAAACCTAACACAGAACTGTCACCTGAACTCAATCGAAAAGCCTGCCTGGGCAATCGCTGGCGTGTTTTCTCCACCTCAGCAATAAGGAAGTTACCAATAGGATGAAGCTTTATGCGCTGAAGCCAAACGAAACTTCTTTTGAAACACTGAAAAACATAGACCACAGTGCAGTAACTCTCAGTAACCTTTCCTTCAGCGCAATTGGTGCGCTGCGCATTGCCGTGCAGCTTCACCTTCCTCGACTCCCTTAGTTCCGTGACTTCCAAAAGTTTGTCTTGCCTTTTGTTTCTGGCAATGCTAGTGTCGGCTCGAAACCTCCCAGCGGTGCACCGGCGTCAACGGAAGTTCGAGGGGCGTGTTTCATGGTGATGGCTCTTTTAGAAAGGCCGCTCTGTTCTGGCCGTTGGACAGGGGTGATCGATCTTGAAGAGCTCAAGCATGGGTGTCTTCGTTGTGGCACGCTGCCATTGTCTGGCCAATTGTGCTTCATTGAGGGTCTTTCGGATGGGTTCAAAGACCGGATCACGGTGTATGATGTCCTTGTCAATCAGGATTGCATGGGGTTTGTACTTCAGATTGATGCTTCCACCGTGGTAGTCCAGCGAGCTCAGCTTAGCGTGATTGATCTTCATGAAGTCAAGGAATTGTGCAGTGGCTTGGCATGCATTTCAATGGGAGCGACACCCATTGGGGGACGAGCTGTAGGAGCCTTGGATGTGAATAGGCTTGCCATTTCCCATCTTGAAGCCAATCAACACCCCAATCCAATTTGGGGGTCTGTTTTGAAGGACAGTGATGTTTGCCGCATGCATTTGCTCGGTGGGGCAAAAAGGGGAACCCTGACAGCCGGGTTCCCCTGTCAACCGTTCTCCAAGCAGGGGGACAGGCTTGGCATGCAGGACAAGAGGTCTGAGGTGTTTGATGGAGTTGCAAGAGCTGCTTGGTTGATGCAGCCGGGCCTGCTGATGCTAGAATGTGTGACTGAAGCCGGCATGATTCCAGAAATCACCAGTACCTTGTCAGCATTAGCCAAAGGACTAGACTTCGGTATCAGGACCATTGAATTGGCCCTGGAAGATGTTTGGCCTTGCAAAAGGCGCCGTTGGTGGGCGATTCTCACCATTTCGCCGTGGCTGCCAGCAGAGCTGAGATCCTGGCCAGGATTTGCATTTCCCACAGTTCGAGATGTCATCCCAGAGTGGCCAGTTTGGCCTGAACATGAAGAAAGTCAGCTCGAGCTGGGAGGCATTGAACTCCAGGCCTTTCATGAACCCAGCTTTGGGGGTAGTGATCGAGTGCTTCAGCTGAATGGCAAGGCTCCGACTTTCCTTCATTCATATGGCAGCCAGCTTGTTGCATGCCCTTGCAAGTGCAGAAGCAGTGGGCTGAATCCTGCTCGCTTGGAACGTGCCGGATTGAGAGGAGTGTATGTCCATTCCCAAATGAGCCATATGCCAAGATGGCTTCATCCGAGAGAGCTTGCAGTCCTGCAAACCATCATGCCGGACATTGTCCTTGATGAGGATCTACGTGCCAGTTTGGTCATGCTTGGACAGATTGCAGCTCCTGCACAAGCCCTTTGGTTGCTGGCTCAAATCTGGCTTCCGCTTCGTGGGGATGATGTCACGCCGGAAGTAGCTTTGAAGAAGTATCTTGATGATTTGCTTTGCCGTCGATATCATGTTTTCCCTCCAAGTGCCATTCCAGATCGGCAATTGATGCATGTTTGGCATGACCAGGGAAGTGAACTAGTAGCGGTTAGCAATCTTCAGCGAGTGGAAGATTTTGTTGGTGCAGAAGAACGCCTTCTCGGTGACATAGAAGTGCAGCTCTGGGATGGACACATGAGGCTGAAGGGCTCTGATGTTCTTCATCTTGCAGGCCAGTCAGGTGCGTACACAGTTGTCAGAATCGGAAAAGGTGGCCAAGAGACCCACCACCCGCTGATTCTGGTGAAGCTGATCTCCGAAGAGAAGACATGGCAGGCGCTGCTGACTGCGGGCAGCTTTGTTTTTGAGGCCTTTTGGAGACTTCGGTTGCAAGTGGAACCCATTCCATTGAGAGATGCTCATGATGGCTTATGGTTTCCAGACAGCAGGGTCTGGGAGGATGTGACATTGCTTGATGTACCAGTCATCTCTTGCGGCCCACTTGATACAGGAGTTTGTCTGCAGCAGCCTCAGGATGACATTACTGGACCACAAATCCAACGTGCCATTGATGAACTGATGCAATGTCCTTCAGGCCCAGATGAAGTCCTGCTGACAGTTGATCAAGTGCAAGTGCTGATTCGAGCGCCCATTCATCTGCCTAGCAAGGTCCTGCATCGATGTGGACAATGCCTGGTTTTCCATGGGATCTTTCAGAGTTGTGGTCATTGGGCCATGTTCTCATGTGTGCGACGGGAGCTTTCGGTGGAGATTCATTACTTTGATGGAGTGATACATCTGCTGAAGCATGAAATGCGTGAAGTTGGCAACTGGGCCGGACGCCTATGGAGCTTGTCGAAAGTTGATGTCATCTTCGCCAGAACAATTGTCCAGCCCAAGCCGCATCTTAGTGCGGCAGTGGCCTTGGCGCATCTACGCCAGGCATGTTCGCTGATGCAAGCACCATCATCAGATGATTTAGAGGAATGGCATGAACACCTGATGCAGCCCATTCGCTCAGTAGGACTCAGTGACAGTGATGCGAAAATGGCAAGTGAGGTTGACGGCATTGAGCTGAGGGCGCTGTCTAGATTTGCAGAACACATTGCAGCTGAGGCCACCTCAGCAGTGACCTTGATTCCAGTGTCAGGGAGTGTGAACTTGGGGCATGGTGACCCAAGAGAAGCCACACAATTCGTGCAGGACCTTTTGCCCTTGTCCAAGCCACTTGCACTCTTTGTTGAGTCGGCGCATCATTGGTTGCTGTTTGTGATCCATCCTCGGGATGAGTGGCTGGATATTGAATACTATGATGGCTTGCCTCATGGACATGATCAAATGGTTGACAGAGTGGCAACCTGGGCACAAGAGATCTTGCATGCTCGTGGATTTGTCGTTCATTTTGTCACTGGATTGACCCAGCAGCAGCATGATCATTGTGGGGTCATTGCTCTTGCCAACTTCGCCATGATTGCCAATCCGGACGAACGCTGGACCCAGGATCAGTTGAATGACTTGCACGCTGTGCTCCAGGATTCTTGGGAAGTCTCGCACTCGGTGAGGGCATGTGGTGGAGGAGATAGCCAGGCAAGTGGATTAGCCCAGCAATTAGCTGACCTCCTCCTTATGAAGGGGGTACCAAGAGATCGTGCACATGAGAGAGCTTTGGCAGGGATTGCGGCAATTGGAGAAGCGGCACTGATTGCGGCATTGAAGCAGAAGCATCCCTGGGCAGAGCTCAAGCAATTGGGTTCGAAGCCCTCAAACAATTTTCAATGGGTCAAGCCTGACGAGTTGATGAGACAAGTTCGGGCCAGGGCTGAAGAGCAATATGGAGTGGCAGCCTCGACGAAGAAGAAGGATGGTCGACGAGCCAAGGCAAATGTCCAGCCGCTGCATGTTAATCCACAGCAGTTGAGTCTGATTGAGGGTTCTTTCGTTGATTCTGCAGGCAAATCTGTATCTCAGATCCAGCTGGCTGAGGTTTCAAGTCAAGCATCCGGGCTGGCATTTGCCACAGTCAGTGAAGCTAGCCCTTACTTGCAGGAGGGCAAAAGCCTCAGCCTTTCGCCGCTGGCTTTGCTCACAACTAGCCCAGTTCCACATGATCAGGTTGGCCTCCTTCCGGTGCAGAACTTGCGTTTTCCTGTTCTATATCAGGGAACACAAGAACCTGTTCTGGTCCAAGGATCATTGATTCAGTTGGGTGATGAGAATGTCACCCGTCAGCAAGAAAAGAATCCTCCCAGTCTTGATGCGTTGCCAACAGAAACCATGCGGCTGACTGTGTTTCGGGATGAGTTTGAGGCGGCAGGCGGTAGCTGGGATTCCTTGTGCCAGGGCCCTTTGAAGCAGATCTTTCTTGCTGTTCCAGGCCTGACGGTTTGTCGAGGCACAGCATGTGGTGGTCAATGTCCCAAACACCATTGCCCCGTTGATCAAGAGTATGACAGTTTGCTCACTGATGTGTGGGAACGGAGGTGGTCACGAGTGGATGGTGGAGGAAAAGTCAAGCCTGAGGATGCCGGACAGTTTTCAGTACTGACTCGGGTCATCAAGCATGTGGCAGATCAGCTACAAAGCCTTTCAGGACAGCATGGTCTCTACATTGAACCCAGGCAAGGGGATGGCAAGGGTCCTGCCTCAGGCTTCGGAGTGGTCTGGCTCAATCAGATGGGGCTTAGGGAAGCGGATCACAAGAAGAAGACCGTGGACGGTGCGATCGCCCTGGTTCGGCTCGGTCATAGATGGGGGCTTCGATTTCGTGAAGGAGACATGGAGAAGGCTTTTGCTGAACTGAGGCCCACGGAAACTTACATGAAAGTGCAGGTCCAGGACATTTTCCTGATGTACCCATTGCCTCATGGCACAACCCGAGCAGGATTGGTCAAGTGCTTGAAAACCTGGGGATGGGCAGCAAAACCGCTGCAGCCTGTTCGGGGTGGACCTGAAGGTGCTGGATGGCATGTGGGTAGTGGGACAGCTCCGCCGCACTCAGTCCTGCAAGGAGCGCATGGAGATGTCGTCGTCACCAAGGTTCGTTCTATGCTGAATGTCAAGGAGGCTCCAAGTGTTCTCAGTTCCTTTCGAACCAAAGAGCATCTGAAGTCGCAGCAGCGAGCCAAGCCGATGGAAGCCAAGCCCATGGGAGCAGGAGCGTCGTCGGACCCTTGGCTCAATGGTGATCCTTGGCAATCTTTCCGACCAACTCAACAACGTGCTCAAGGATCTGAAATAGCGGAATCGGCAAAGCAGAAGCTTGAGGAGGTGGAGAATAAGCTGAGGAGTGACATGAAGTCAGTGATTCGAAAGGAGCTTGAGGAACAGGCGGCATGTGCAGAAGATGCTACTATGCAAACCAATTGGGATGCAGATGTCAGGCTTTGCAGACTTGAATCGACGATTGGAGAGATCAAGGCTCAGAATAGCCGCTATGATCAGTGGTTTGAACACCAGGCCCAAGTCCAGACAGAGCTCAATGGTCGGGTTGAATATCTAGCTGAGGACCTGCGCAGTCAGAAGGAGCAGATGGCGGCGTTAGATCAAGCAGTGCATAAGCAAGGTTCGGATGCTCAGAGCTCCTTTGTTTGCCTGGCG